AGAGGTTCTACATAGGAGGTTCGCATGCGGTCCTTGCTAGGGTTGAGAAAAAATGAAGTGGAGTGTTGGAGTTAGGTCCTCAAAAAGAGAGCACTGGTCATTAAAAGTATAGGTGGCAAGTGTTGTTACTCTCTAGTACCCCCCCTAGAAAAGAAAAATAAAAAAAGAAAAGAAAAGAGAAACAAAAAAAAAGAGGTAATAAAATGGGCTAGATAAAGTAGAGAGTACCACGAAAAACAAAATTACATGCTCTAAGGGGGGTTTGTTGGCACGCAAGCCATCGAAACCCCCACATTGTTTTAGAACTCCTTCACTACCAAACCTTAATGTGCTAGCAAGGGTAGACCGAGGAAGAGCACTTCAATATAGTTCACGATGGGTGATAGTTTGGAAAGGAGAGATAAGGATTTTGGCTGATTCTAGTGGCCTTGGTTTGTAGAGAAGGTTCTTAGTTGAAACCATAGAACCTTCGGGTTTATGTTGAAGATTTAGAACCTCATGTTGTGTTTGCCACCACCCAAAATGCATTTTCCCCATGTCCAAGACAATTGCCAGTCATCTGAACCCGGGTTTAAGACATCAAGACAAGCTAGTGATGACAACTATCCCGTGAACTCTAGCATTTAGACTTTAGAGGTTGCCGCCATGGTGGTGAGATGGTAGGGATGAGTGATGACGATTGTGCACATCTTTTGCACCAAAAGGTCCTGACCCCACTGGTCGAGAGTGAGCGATTCATTCTTGTTCTTGCATGTTCATATCTATCTCGGTGAGGACCTATGTTGCCCCGTTGTCTGTTCCTTTGACTTGAGTTCTATGCATGGTCGGTTGTGATTAATTAGTGACCCGGTTGAGACTTGCATTGATTGTGGATAGAATGAGAACTTTTCATTTGGCCAATTTTTATGCAATTGAATGTCATTTGTGGTGGATGCCGGAATTGTTTGAGATGGTTCGAGTGTTGATGCACAAATAGTCATTTGAGATTCACAGCCTTGTGCCTTTTGAAATGTCCCCTAGCTATCTTTTTAGGTTGAAATATTACCTAAGTTGACAATGTTTTGCTTGGGGACAAGCAAACATCTAAGTGTGGGGGAGTGATTCGGTCCCAAATGTACACATTTTATCCCTCATTTCTTATTCGTTTAGCTTAACATTTCATCGTTCCTCGACATATTTTACGCTAGGTTGTGCTTGTTTTTATACATTTCAGGTCCTAGCATGTGTGGAAGGGTCGAGGTCGAATTTTGGGATAATTGGAGGTCAAAAAGTGTAAAAACCAAAGAAACTTCTGAAGTCGACCGTGACAATTGCCTCGTAGCAGTGAAGTGAAGGCGTCCAGAAAACAACTGCAATTCACGGTCATCCAAGGCCGTTCACGGTCTCCTAAGACCGTGAACATGGACCACAAACCGTGAACATCGAGCAGTCCAGCGAGGTTCGTGAAGTTACTGACGACAAGACAGTTCACGGTCTTTAAGACCGTGAACTGGGGCCATTGACCGTGAACCCAGGCGAGTGAAGCGGCGCGTTTTGGACGACACTAAGTTCACGGCCGCGTTTAGGTATTCAAGGCCGTGAACTGACCAACGCGTCCGTGAACTGACCAATGTGTTCGTGAACTAGTCACTATCGGGCAAATATGAAGGCAACGCGGGGAGAGAGAAAGGGGGGCTGGCTTTTGGAGAAGAAACACTTTCTTTCTCTAGGGTTTTAACCTAAACACCAAAGGGGAGGTCTAGTGTGAGAGAAAGAGTGCTAGAGTGATCTTGGAGCATCATTGGAGGTTTGGGTGGAAGATTCAAGCCTAGAAGGAGAAGCAGAAGATCTTGAGCTCAAATTTGTAATCCCTCTCTCTCTCTCTCTCTCTCTCTCTAGAAACTCACTCTTTTCTCTTTGGATGTTGTAGATCCCTAACTAATACTTTGTAATTACTTGTCTAGATTGAATGATTGTTATAGGATATTGGTTAATTCGATGTTTGAGGCATTATTCACCATGATTGTGCATGCTTGTGCTTAGCAACTTATGGGTTGTGCATGTTTTGTGCTTAGCATCCTAGGGATTGTGCATAATCGTGCTTAGCACCCCTAAGTTTGTGCATTTAGGTGCTAGTAATCTAATTTGCCACCTTAGCCTAGTTTAGAGAGGAAAATCCCCCTGTCAAGGGAGACTCAATCGAGTTGGTTTTCCTTCCGCTTTCTAAGCCACCTAAACTAGGTTGAGTTTGGGGAACCCTCAATATTGAATTAAACAAGTTGGTTAATCGCGATTAAGCCGTCCGACCTTCGAGTTGAGTGAGGAAGTAAGACGATTAGCGATTGTCTAAACTAAGAGGGTCGAGTGACACAGCCTTTCATTCTCACCTCGGTTTAGAAATTGAGACTGTGGTCTCCGACCACATACGCTTTCCTCTGCGGTTCACGATTAACGTGCCTAAGGCAATCGTTCCAATCCATCGAGTCTTGGTAGCTAGTTAGGGGGAAGCAACTCCTGGGTGAAGCTTTCTTAGTTAGGATTTTCCTTTATTTACTTTTCCTTGTTAGTTTAGTTTGTAGTTTTCTTAGTTCTAAACCCAAAAGTTGTTTGCTAGATAACAACCTAAGCGATTGAAGTAGGGATACATGGATCGGCCCGGGTTGACAATTTAAATACTTGCTCTATACTGCACCCGGCTAGAGTTTAAAAACTTGGGCTCTATTCGGGATTAATTTGTGGTGTAGTTCGTGCGAGTCAACAATTTAAACTTAATGCTCTTCCATAACAAATCCCCGAGTTCTCAGCAAGTAGCTCAAATTTTTCTTTCCTTTTTGGGGTTGCTGTCCAAAATTGAACACTTTCGTGAATGCGCTCTATGCTTTTCTTTATAACCTCTAAACCATCCTTAACAATTAAGTTGAGATATGAGCACAACAAGCTATATGGAGCTTAGAACCAGACCACATCAAATGCTCACTGCTTAACTTATCCTTCATGACATCCATCAAGGCATCATTTGTAGAACAATTATCCAAGATAATCGTAGATACCTTTGTGTCAATATCCCAAGCAAGTAAAGTGTCAAGAAGAGCCTGAGCAAGCACCTCACTTGTGTGTGGGCAAGGAACATAAACAAACCTACAATACATAAAACAACAATAAGAAAAAACTTAGTCACATATGTCATTACTTGAAAACATGCAGAATTTAAGGAAGAGAAGAATAAACCATAGAATATAGCTTCGAATGTTCCATCCATCATCAATAAAGTGGGTTGTTACCACCATAAATCCCTTCTTCTGATTACTTGATGTCCACATGTCACTAGTAATTGCTATTCGGCTCTCAGTGTCATCTATGAGTCTCTTCAACTCTTTCTTTTCATGGAGATATTTTTTTTATGAGATGGAGATATATCTTCAAGATGTCACTCTTGACAGTATTTCTCGAAGGGTAGTTAAAGAGGGGCTGTAGTACATATACAAATTGCCGAAAACCAACATGCTCGACGATGCAAAGAGGATATTCATGCAAAATAATCATAGATGCCAAAGCCTTCCTCCCTTCATCCTAACTATCAAATCTTTGAGAGCGAGCTTTACTAAGATCTCCATTTAAATTCTTAGTCAGGAGCATTTGTCTTATGTCTTTAATTTTTCTTGTGGGACACCTGAGGACATGTTCTTTCAAATGACTTATCCCATTATTTGAAGCAGCATTGAGAGATTTTGAACATAGATTACACACTGCTTTTATATCTCCATTTTCCTTCAAGATTCGTTTAAAACGATTCCAAACGTCACTCTTCAGTTTGCTTGTATCAAGTACCTCATCATTACCAGTAGCAGGAGGAGCATCAGTTGCATGTGGTGGGGGTTGACTCTCCACTCCAACAGTAGCAGCAGGAGTACCCCTAGAATTAGGAGTCTCTAAGCAAGCATTTGTTGACAAATTGCTCTCAACGCCTGCGACTATGGGAGAATTTCCACGAGGAGATTCATTTGACGAACTCATTGTTCCACCTACAAAACAGGACGAATCGGTTAGGGGAAACACACAGCCATAGTGAACACAAGTGAAAAAATTGTATAATAAACAACAGAAACGATTCATAAACCCGGCAAACCTGTAATTCCACGAAGCTGGACCTAAAACTATAACTAATTTGAATCATCCCCGCAAAAAATTACCTTTTGCAACCGCGGTGGGGGAAGGTACATCGTCGTGGGGAAAGCTGCTTGGCGGCAAATGCGGGTCGCGAACGAGAGGAACAGGGGAGAGCAGGTCGTGCGACGGTGTGAGGAGATGCTGGCTGGAACCGGTGGAGATCCAGGCGAGTGGCGAGTCGCGCACGACCGAAAGGGAAGCAGAGGAATGGCGCGCGACCGAGAAGGAAGCAGGGGGGAGGGAGGTCGTGCGAGGAGATGCTGGCTGGAACCGGTGGAGATCCTGGCAAGTGAGGAGTCACGTGCGACCGAGAGGGCAGGGGAACGGCGCGCGACCGAGAGGGAAGCAGAGGAGACGGTCGGTGCCGTTGGGACTGGCGGCTGGCGGGGCTCCTCGCTAATGACGCACGAACAGAGGGAAGAAGGGGGAGGCGGTCGGAGTCTGGGCGTTGGCTGTTGGTGGGCGGCGGCTAGGTATTCAGGGGAACGCTGTGCGAATGAGAGAGACGCATATTAGGGTTTCAGATTTTAGGGTTAATAGTTGGGGAAGGGTTAATTGCAAGGTTGGTCACTGGGTTTACTAAAAACGTTCATGTTTGGTCACTGAAAATATTTAATTCCATTTATGGTCACTAAGATTAGTTCAATAGTTCAAATTTGGTCACTCTCCGTTAGTCTCCGTTAGTTTTTGCTGATGTGGCAGTCAACTATTATAGTTGACCGTTAAATAAGTGACGTGGCCATTAAAAAATATTAAAATAATAAAATTTAAACATTTACAATTTCCACATCATTTTACAACTACTAAAAATAAAAATAAAACTTAATTCCTATTATTCTATAAATACCTAATATTCAGAAACCCAGATGATATATGATCGTAAAGAACAAACCTTTTTCTTGTTTTACGTCTACCTCGTGGTAATTGATGGTACCGGCAGAGTGGATGTTGAACTTGGAATCGAGACCCCCCTTGTGAACCATGTCTCTGAAGACTCCCTCGACTGCTGGGCTCCGACAGATGTTGCCGAGGCAGACGAACAGAACGGAGAAGGGCCTTGCTCATATTTGGGTCTCTCTCTGTTTTCCTGCTTCCTCTGGGATTATGGAGCTGTCTGCTTTATCTTTGACGAGTTTATCCTTCTCAGCCAATTTCTCATCTTTCGCCTTCAATTCCTTTGTCTTCTTATTGATCTTGGACTCTTTACACCACCCATAAAATCAAAAGCAACAGAGCAAGCACAAATTCAGAACCTTTGTCTGTTGAAGATGATGACCATTCCAACAACATGGCATGTTGCTCCATCAATAGTCTGCCACAACAACAACTTGCAACACCTACTGCAGCAACCACCAACAACTCTATTTACAATTACCACACTTTCATCAGAAGCACCATTCCTAGTTATTACTAGATAAAGAGATAATCTTTTTTATGTCTTTCTCACAAACCAAGAAGCTCATATGTGAGTCTTTCCTTTTGTATAAATAGAGTAGGAAACCTTCTGTAACATTCAAGCTTTTCATCAATAAAATCATCATACACAAATTCATCATGGTATCAGAGCTGGAATCAGATTCCAGTGAGGGAAAGAAAAAGAAAAGGAAGAAACGATTCTGTTGAGTTCCTAAATCCTTCTTTCCAAACCTTCAGTACCTATTCTTCAACTTTCAGTCTACAAAGTCTTTCTATACCTTCCAATCATGAGTGAGCATTCTCCAGGCTGCTCATCTCCAATCTTACGCCATCTATGATTCAGCCATACGAGTCACCATTCTCTAAAGCTTCCGCTATCAATCACACTATCAAATCCAGAGGAGGATTCTGGCTTCTACAGCAGTAGAAGAAACACTGAAAGAAGCCATTGCCATGGATCCTCACACCAGTCGCCGCCATCAGTACGGCCGCCGTCGATCAGCCAATGGGTTCCGTAACCCATCAACATTGACTCTCTTGTCCCTGTCCTGGTCGTCACCAATTGCCAGACCACCCCTACCTCCGCCCGCACCGCCATCAAGTGCAGCCATCATTGCCGCGCCACAGTACCATTCTCTGGCCGGCTGTTGTGTCACCACGGCGGTCACCACCGAACCTCCTGCAAGCTCCAAATCAAGCCGACGTCGTCAATCAAGGGGCACCGGCGCTGAAACCAGAACTACGGCGGGAAACGAGCAGAGGCGATTTATAAGAGGGAGACGGTGGAAGTAAAAGATCCGTCGATTTGAATCATCCACCCAGCCCGTCGTCATCACCGCCGCCGTCACCATGAGTCAGCCACTTCATTCTTCTTTGCCGCCTTGATTTCCGTATCACCGTCGATATCGCCCTGTCAAGGCCGCCGTCGCCGTTCCTTCCCGCCGTCAAGTCTTCCCACCCGTCGCTGCACATCCTCGCCATCGTCCCCACCGTCCCTTCGTCATCACCATCGCCGCGGATCTTTGCTGCCATTGTTGGGTGCTTTGATCGGTTGGGGTACGAAGAGAAGAGAAGAGATTATTATAAAAAAAAAAAAGGAGGAGGAGGAGGAAGAAAGAAAAGGATGCTGCGGCGCTAGAGGAAAGGAAGGGCGGCCAATGGGTTTTTCCAAACCCTACTGATGCCACTAAGGCCATCTCATTTCCCCACAGATTGGGCCTCTTCATCAGGTCAAGGCCTATTTTCAAAACCCAACGGACTGGGTTGCAAAAAAAATGGAGGCCATCTTATTCAGTCTAGGCCCAAGCATATATGATTGGTTCTTTGTCCCATTTTGAGCTAGTGGCATGGTATGTCTAGTCACGGTGCGAGTTATTCCCGATCAGGTCGTCCTCTTGGCGTTATTAAACGATCGTACGATCCAAGAAGAGATCGTCCTTTCGGCGTCCAATGGACAAACATGACCCAAGAAAAGATCGGCCCCTCAGCTTCACGAGGCACTCTCGATCAGATCGTTCCGAAGGCGCTTTTAGACGGTTGTACGATCCAAGAAGAGATCGTCCCCTCGGCGCTTCAAATGGAAGAAACGATCCTAGAAAAGATCGACCCCTCGGTGTTTATTATTGGGCTAAGACCAATTATTCATCACCTTTCAAGCTGGGCATTCACAGTGTTCATGCTCCAGCTTGAGGGGGAGAATAAGGAGGATAGGGATGCTAACCAACCAAGAAGCCGCAACATATCCTAAATTGAAGCTCCATCGAAAAGCTGAAGGGAAAACTAGCTAGTCAATGAGCAGTTGCTGTTCCAAAGAGAGGAAAGTTAGCTGAGAAGCAGCAACTTTTCCTGGGAGCCGTAAACGGCGCAAACCCGAACTAGTGAGTCGATTTAATTCGACATATCCATCAAGTTGTTCAAAGAGACGCCGCCAGTGGCCTCCAACATCAACCTCGTCCAAGATGTTCAAACGGAGTCACGATCCTACAAAAGATCATTACCCGTTTCCGTTCCACACATTTGCTTTTCAAACTTGACATTCTTGTCATTCATGTCTACGCTTGAGGGGGAGTGTTGAAGATGATGACCATTCCAACAACATGGCATGTTGCTCCATCAATAGTCTGCCACAACAACAACTTGCAACACCTACTGCAGCAACCACCAACAACTCTATTTACAATTACCACACTTTCATCAGAAGCACCATTCCTAGTTATTACTAGATAAAGAGATAATCTTTTTTATGTCTTTCTCACAAACCAAGAAGCTCATATGTGAGTCTTTCCTTTTGTATAAATAGAGTAGGAAACCTTCTGTAACATTCAAGCTTTTCATCAATAAAATCATCATACACAAATTCATCATTGTCCGCAATAGCAGCTGCACATAAACTAGGAAGCGAATTCAAGCATCAACAGTTGCAGCGCATGGCTGAACTGCTCAGTGAAGCAGTTAGAAAACACTGAATCAGGGGGAGAACCGTCCATGAAATAGCCGGCAGTTCAATTCCTAAAACGAAATCGGAAAAACCTAACCACCACTTCACAGTTCCCCCAATAGAACAGAAGACTTGCTGCTGATTCAGTACAAGTCGGCATCAATCAATCAGTGAAGAATTTCTGAAGAGTTGAACTGACCAAGGGATTGGATCTTGGACGTGAGCTGGTCGAGTTCGATCTTCAGAGCGGAGGTCTCGAGGTCTTTAGATCCAGTGACTTGACTCACCGGCGCAGCAACATCGCCGTCGCTATCGGCCGAGGCGTCCGCCCAAGCAGTGGTGAGAACTAGGGCGAGGAAGAGCGAGAATAATAGGAATTAAGTTTTTTTTTTAATAGTTGTAAAATGATGTGGAAATTGTAAATGTTTAAATTTTATTATTTTAATATTTTTTAATAGTCACGTCACTCATTTAACGGTCAACTATAATAGTTGACTGCCACATCAGCAAAAATTAACGGAGACTAACGGAGAGTGACCAAATTTGAACTATTGAACTAGTCTTAGTGACCATAAATGGAATTAAATATTTTCAGTGACCAAACATGAACGTTTTTAGTAAACTCAGTGACCAACCTTGCAATTAACCCAGTTGGGGAAATTGGAGAAAGTGAAGACTTGTCTTCTTTCTAGGTAGTGGGTGATGGCCGTTGGGTTGTTGCCTGCTGGGTAGGGTAGGGCTAGGAAATTGAACCTTTGGTTAGCGGGACGGGTATTATCGATTACCATACCTGTACCCTACCCTTTATTTTGAAACCGGGTATTACTCGTACCCGCCCTTAACCCGTCAAAATGGGTAATTACCCTCGTTGACTGGTTACGGTCGGGTAGGGTACCCATGGTTACGCGTTGGATTGCCATCCCTACCTGCTTCAGCGTTTGAAGCCGAAAAACACTTCTAAAAACTTGACCAAACATTGATATAAGCTCGTGGTGTAGAGTGGGTTAAGAATATCTCTTCAATTTTAAAATTTAAGTATGCTAATTTGCATCGCTATGATGATTATTGTTGTTTTTTTTTTGTTTTTTTTTTCAAATTGTAATAATTAAATGGATGGTGCTTTCCGTACTTATTTGGTAATGATCAAGTCAAATGCATTAATCTGATAATATCGTTTCTCAACGAACATATCATATAAGCCTATATGTATAGACTAAGTTACATTTGTGAAAGCACATACTAGCAGTGATAACTACTACTGCAGCGTTCCTCTTCCTCGTCCTCCTTGCCGGCTGCCGCCATCTCTACTCTCCTCTCGAGTTTAGACGGAAGGTGTGTTTGACAATTTTCTACCAGAAAGCCTCCACCGCTGTGGGGTTTTGGACTGATGGGCTTTTCATCGGACATTGAAGCCTAGATTTCTGCTGGACTAAAAAGGGCCCTCAAGGGTCCATTTGGCCCATCACGGAGAAAGCTAGATGGTTTTTTGGGCCCAATCAATGGACCACAAGCAAAGTACCATGAGAACAAAAGTACTATTGAGTTGAGCGGATCATAGAGGGTTTTTTTTTTTAACGGGGCCACAAGAAAAAGCACTTATAAAATATATACAGGTATTTTATATTATTTTTAAATTAATGTTATACTTAATTGTAAGTTAATAATAATATATTTAAATATAATTATTTAAATATATATGGGTCAGATTGGTGTACTTCTGAGGTATACAATACTCTAAGTACTCCTTATGATATATATATATCTAGATCATGAACGAACCTGATATATAATAAACAATATTTAATTTAGCAATTCAATTCAATGGATATCAGTATTAAACGTGTTACACTGGTTTTATACATGTTTAGTACGGGAGGCATCAAATGAACAGGAAAAAATGAAACGGCTTAACATTAATATGGATACAAAAACTTTAAATGAATAAAATATGTACTTCCATATATGCGTGTATTAAACGAAATATTTACTAACTATTGCTTATGTCATGCATATATTTATCCAAAATCAAGTGAATCTATTTATTACGGGTAGATCATAAATTTTTAGAAGTTGAACTTGTTTAAAATTCTTGAAAATTTAGGTACTAAATTGCGAGAGAGAGAAAAAATT